CCCAACCCTAACTCCGCCCCACGCAAATTTAATTCCTTAGGTGGTGACAATCACCACCGGTGAGAAATAGCAATTCTTTTTTTAATAACCAGGAGTATTATATTATAACAAAATAAACACCATCTAATTAAATAATTTGATTTTTTATTCATAGAGCATGAGTATTATGTTATAATTTAACTTTTACAACACAAAATAAACATCATCTAATTAAATAATAAAACTTAATAAAAACCTTCTCAATATAATGGATATCTTGGTTTAACAGATTTTTGGAAAAATTTCCCTAATTGCACAAACTATCTGCTAAATCGAGATTTGCTGTGTAGTTTAGTTGTTAATTGCATTTGTTGATTAAATAACTCTTTTACAAAAAATGTCAGAATCAAATAAAAAAAGAAAACAAAATCAAGGCAAGAAGTTATTTCAGAGTAAGTTATCACTACTCGTCATCACTCTAGTTAATTAATAAAAATTAGACAAATATTATCTAATAAATTTATGTAAATCATAAAATTTTCTTATTAACTCGAAATCAACCCGAAACCAATCCAAAATTTTCTGGTTGGCCTTTAAAACATTCGGGCCAAACTTATGAGGAGGTCTCATGATATTTGTTGTTAATAATTAATTATCATTTTGATTTAGGGCATTACTAGAAATCTTTGGTACAATAAAATGAATATTGATATAAAAATTTCCTCAACACTTCCAAAAAGCACTAATCATAAAATGCCAACATCATCACCAAGAACAAAAAAAAATAAAGAGTACTGACAAATTCATTCATTACTGAGAAGGTGTAAATTGTCTAATAATCTGTGAATGTTAGTGAGGTAATTGTTTGTAAGGTGATAAAATTAGATGGCAGCATATAAATTGTTAAATAATTAACTGAATGCAGGATAATTTTATTTTTATAAATATTAATAATTAGAAATATATTATAAGAAAAACACAATTGATTTAGAAATAATAAAATATACATTGATACTATTAGTAGTAATAGTAATAGTGGTTTGGCTTGACAACTCTGCCAATTATCATTTGAAATAATATTTTTGGCCATTATTACAAACTACACAAACTGTAACATTGACACCTGAAATTCTTAGTAATACAAATGTTTGCTTTGTTTGGATTTGTTGTAGCATGTGTATATATAATGCTTCACACATAAATAAATAAAGAGTCATTTAATGTGCAATACTTCCCTCTGACAAATAGCTTAAAAATACGGAGTTTTAAAACACGGATAATTTTTTTATAGTAAATAGTGATAGGATTATTTGACTGGATAAAATAAAGTACATGAATATAGTGCGAAGATAAAGAAAGTGTTGTTGTTTGTAACAATGAAATGCTGAAATTTGGAAACGTGAATATTTTTTTCCAAAAAGGCAATAAATTTCTTTAACAAAATATTTCATTGTTTTTTTTTTTTAAAGGCGCCCTAAATTGTCACTTGGATTTTGATATGGTGTGTAACGTTATATGAGACCATTTAGTTGTTTGATTTTAGATTGGCAACAGGAAATAAACAAGTGAAATGAATGACCAATAAATTGAAATCATTGAAGATTAATTCAGTATTAAAATATTCAGAAAAAAAAAAAAAATAGCAAAAAGCAGAAAAAATGGAGAACACTTCTTGTGATGATGATATAGATGACAAGATCGTGGTAATTGAAGAAAGAGCAGAAGAAACAACAGTAATAACGGCAGAAGCATCATCTTCGATGAATCCTAATAACATTTATAATAGCATACCTTACAATGAAAAATTTTTATTAAAGCATGATGATAATAAAAAGTTTATAAGTGATTTTGTAAAGCTTTTAAAAGATTCTGATTTTTACGATACAGAAATTAAAGTTGGGGAGGATAATCAAGATGTTGAAATTTTTAAAGCACATTCTCTAATTTTAAAAGCAAGATCTCTTTACTTCAAGAAAGTTTTGTCAAGTGAAGAGGTAAAAAAAAATGACAAGGGAATTATTATTCTTGAAATACCAAATATATCTCCAAAAGTTTTTGAGTTTATTTTAAAGTAAGTACTATTCATTTGATTGTAACTAACTGTTGTAATTAATATTTTACATTATTGATATTTTCTTTATTTATAATTATGATAGTTATGCTTATAGTGGAGCTGTTGATATAATTGAGATTTCTCCAGATGAAATTTTTCAAATGCTTCGAGCTTGTGATGAATTGTGTTTTAATGAATTGTTTGACAAATTGCAAGATTTTCTAATTGAAAATGCCGAAGATTGGATTCAGAGAAATATAGTCTACATCAAAAAAATTTCATCACAAGGACCATATGTCCCACTTCGAGATTACTGTGCTGAAGCAACTTCCCTCTTTCCGGAATTATTTTTTCAATCCAGCGAGTTTAAAAAAATTGAAAAACCCTTACTTATCTCTATATTAAAACGGGATAATTTGATGATGAAAGAAACAGAAATTTGGGATTATGTTATTCAATGGGCAGTTGCTCAGAATGCCGAATTAGAAGGAAAAAAGATTTCTGAAAGAAATGAAGAAGAAATTACCGAGTTAAAAAAACTGTTGAATGAGATTATACCTTTAATAAGATTCGATCAAATACCTTCTGAAGAATTTTATAATAAAATCAAACCACATAAAAGGGTCTTTGACAAAGATGTTTATAAAGAAATTGAGAACTTTTATTTTGTTGGTAGTTGGCGAAATTCAATAATTCAAAAAGGCCCAAGAGTAAATATATCTAAACCAAATATCGTGAAATTGAATTTACTGAATGCAAAAACTAGATGTCGTGTTGCTAGCTTGATTGATGAAAAAGAATATGTATATAGATATAACAATATGCCATATGAGTTCAAATTAGTTTATCGTGGATCCCAACATGGATTTAACAGTTCAGCGTTTCTTAATTCAACTTGTAATGTTAAACAAACTATAATTGTCATGAAAATCAAAGACACGGGTGAATTGATTGGAGGCTACAATAAATTATATTGGCATAGAAAGGATACCTTTTTTACTTTTATGAATAAAGGTTTTATTTTTAAAATTGATAATCAAACAAATGATTCAAGAGTAGTAAATAAAGTTAATATTCCTTATTATTTTGTAAAACACGAAGGTTCATCATATCCTAGATTACATAGTTATTTTCAATTTAGTGCTGCTCCTTATCATGGACATGATTCATATGCAGCCTTTGATGGATTATACTTGAAGGATTCACATTGTCATTTTGATAATAAAAAACATGTAAAAACTTTAAATCTCAAGAAAAAAAATGTATCTTCCCTAGTATTAGAAGAGTGTGAAGTATATCAGATAATAAAGAGAGCATAGGAATAGACTAGAGTTTCCAAAGGAAATATTTATTAAATTATTTTTATTTTAGTTTTTTTATTTTAGATTTTTTCTAATGATTAAATTTTATTAAATTATAATAGTTATCGAATTTTATTTTATTTGTCATCATCAGATATTAGTATTGATGATATTATTATATTGTTCCTCGAATGATTACAAAATATATATGCAGTAATAATAAAACAAAAGATTTTGGCAATTTTAAGTCAATGAAATTTTTTTTTTTGGAAAAAAAAATATATAATAATAACGAGTTTCGTAAAAATGATTTGATGATCAGATAAAAAATGAACTATATGTTTGGGGCAAGAAGAGAATCAAATGACTCTTTTTTTGGAATAAGATTGATCAATAAAAAATTACATTTATTTTGTACATTGTAAAAAAAAAAAAAAAAAATTGAAAGATGCAATGGTTAAATAAACAATAATAAATATACAGATATAAAATATAATTGTCGCTTTATATCATCTTGTTACAATTTAAGATAATTTAACAGGTATAATAATATATTACGGTCAAAAAACTAAATTTAACGTTATTCCATGTTCCTATACACATTTGAATTGATGCCATCATACTCACTTTACATAGTAAAATTTGACTTGAAATGCAGATCTTATTTTCAATTAGATTATGTATGAATGGTCCTTTCCTATTGAAGTTTTTCTATAAGGATGTAAATTGAAAAGCAAAATTTGCATTATTTAAAGAACAACCAAATTTTGGCGATCGATTTATCGTGAACAATAAAAAATATGCACCAAAACCTGTATGTAAAGGTCGTTATAAGTACCAATATTGATCAACCTATGTTATATTGCTTCAAACTCAAGAGATGATGCTAATCCAATTTTTTTTAAAGAATTGAGTTTTGATGATATTGGATGTAACTATAGCGGTTGAGAAGGATACAAATAAACAATCCTTAAAACTGCTGTCGAAAGAGATGACACGACTTTGGTAAGATGTAAAGATCAAAAGAAGATTATTATTATTATTTGTTTTATACAGAAAGGTGATAAAAAGTGTTCTCTGGGCCTGATAATTAATTTTACAGATTACAAATTCATCTCTGCATAAATCTTTCACTTTCTCCAAACAAAACCACGTGGTTTCATTTTTTTTATTTTCCTTTCAGTCGGAGCTTGAAACAAATTAATTATTAGATCGTATATCTGATATTCACGTGTGGAATTAACTTCGACGCGACCATCATCAACATTATCATCAATAAAAGTTACTACCATTAAAATTTTTTCAAATTTGTGCTACTAAATATATATAAAAAAGGTTTTATTTTTGAAAACTAATATCTTTCATAAAAGGTATATGATAGAATTTCCTTTACCGATAAGATATTCACGTTTCCAAATCAAAAAATGCAAAACATAGTGACAATTTCTGAACTATAACTCCGGTTTTCTCAACAAAAATTCCCTTTTAAAACAACCCAACAAAGAAACAGGTATACAAAATTTAAAAAAGGAACTTGTTATTTAAAGAAAAAAAAATGACAACCAAAATTAGTTTTTGGAAAATAATATTTCAAGATTATTCTTTTTTCACTAAAAATATTATTAATATCATCTGCAATTCTTTAAAAATTTTGTATTATCTCACATTTCTTTATTACTAAAAACGTTACAAGTGATAGAAATGACTAATGCAAATACCATTGCGGCTATTCTTTCGTTTATCTCGTTTCTTTGTCTTCTTTTAGTGAACTTTAGTACACCATTTATTAAGACAATTTATATTATATATGTAGATAGTGGAACAACTGATAAAGTTACAATTGGATTATATGGTTATTGTGTATATTCTTCTTACTCTAACGTTCAGTGTGAAAGTACTGGTTTTCATACCAATAGTTATATTGAATCAAATAAAGATACAAAATTTTTGTTATCTATGCATACTATTGGTAATGTGTGTTTGCTTATAATTATAAAAATATTATAAAAATTATTAAAATATTTATTTATTGTTTGAATATATTTTTAGGTTTAATAACATCATTAGTGATGACTGTTATTGGTTGTTGTAGTTGTTGTAGTCATAATCCAACCAAGATTTCTAGAAGTGATATACTTTTTAACAGAGCGAGGTGGATTTTCTCATCAATCAATTTTTTAATCATCTTGTTGGCAATGGCAGGACAAATTGACCTTTATTCAAGGATCAAAAAATTATCAACAGTCTATGCTTTTTATGATGATATACTAAATACTACTACAACCCTTCACCCTAGTGGATTCTTTCTCGTCTTTATACCTTTCATATGCACATTATTATCAAGTTTGGCATTTTACAAAGGACAATAAACTGTAGACTGGAGGATCAAAATATAAACACAGGGATGGCCAATCTAAATGTGTATAGGAACATGGAATAACGTTAAATTTAGTTTTTTGACCGTAATATATTATTATACCTGTTAAATTATCTTAAATTGTAACAAGATGATATAAAGCGACAATTATATTTTATATCTGTATATTTATTATTGTTTATTTAACCATTGCATCTTTCAATTTTTTTTTTTTTTTTTTACAATGTACAAAATAAATGTAATTTTTTATTGATCAATCTTATTCCAAAAAAAGAGTCATTTGATTCTCTTCTTGCCCCAAACATATAGTTCATTTTTTATCTGATCATCAAATCATTTTTACGAAACTCGTTATTATTATATATTTTTTTTTCCAAAAAAAAAAATTTCATTGACTTAAAATTGCCAAAATCTTTTGTTTTATTATTACTGCATATATATTTTGTA